AAAAAAAGAAAGAAAACTGTCCCACAGTCACACAACTACCAAACCCAGATTTGCCTTGAAGAGGAATCTGAGAAAAATAAAGTAACATGAATTAAAAATAAATAAATAAAAAATAAACATGGAGTCAACATCAAAAAAAAAAAATAGTGGCATTTAACGTTAGTCTTTTATATTGTCTTTGAAATCTAGTGTTTCTTGCCCTCACAGCTCATGTAAACAATAGCCACACTGCAAAATGCTCTATAGTCACATGTGGCTGACAGCTAGCACTATGAAAGGGAAAGTCCAGAGCCCCTCTGAAAGCAAGGCTTGTGTCAGTCCCCTTCTCACCTATAGGTTTCTGAACCTTTCTTCTAATCACCAGGAGCAGACTGAACCCACTCCAATGGTGCCACCTTCAGAGTGTCACTGAACCTGGAGCAGATGACAGGGTTGCTCTAGCCCCAGGGTAAATTTTCTACAGTAAAAGGAAAACTGGGCCACAAAGTATTTAAATCAGGCCATCAGCAGATGACTATCACCCCTGTGACCACTGTGGGGCACTGTGGACCACTCATCCTCTCACAGTGGCTGATTTTGCCCCCAGTCAGCTCTAGGGAAGTCAGTATCAGGGAAGAGATGGAGGGTAACATCTTATCTCTCACAGGATTCCCTGACCCACACTACAGGGGTCTTCTGAGAGGTCTGCTTAGAAGTACCCATGGGTTTGGTTGGGTTTGGTTTGGATGGTTCACAGTCCTGGGGATTGTATCCAGGGCCTTAACATTGGGCTACATCCCCAACCTTTTGTTTATTTTTTTATTTTGGGACAGAGTTTCACTGAGTTTTGTGAGCTGTACTCAAAACTGCAATGCTCCTGCCTCAGCCTCCAACTTCTAGGATCAAAGGCATGCAACATCACACTGAGTCACCTGTGCTCTTTTTAAAGGAAACAAAAGTCGCAGATGGCCAATGAGGTGACTGAAGCCTGCTTGCCAGGTAGTTTATGAATGGGTTTGGAAAGACGCCTGAGCTTTTTAGAGGAAGTCCTCATGACAGTGAATCTAACCTAAAAACTCATGCTCAAGAACTACTTTCTTCTAATGCTTTCAAATTAAACAGGTCCAAGGTTTAGAAGAAATGACCATACTGCTCACTATCACAACGTGCTGATTAAGGATCCGTAGGCAGGCGATTCAACCTATGGTTGAGGCTCTTCTCAGGATATACATGTGCTATAAAAGAGGAAGCACATTCTGTGGACTTTTACCCTTCTATTCAGAAGGAATTTGTCACTTGGGTGGCCAAAGAGACAACTTCACAAAGTTGGGTTGGTACGATAAGCTTGGAGCTTGGAGATACAAACTTTTCCAGAATCTCCTAACAAACCTTCCATACCCTTGATGTACTGACAGGGAAACTGAGGGCTGGAAAGGAAAAGCTGGTAGGCAGTAACTGCCTCAAACCCAGGGCTCATCCTGCTTTAGCCTGAATCACTCTTCCACTTCCTAAACTTCTCTGACTCAGGATGATATAATTAGCCGCGCTCTTCCCACACTGGTAAGAGTCACCAGAAAGGCTGAGGTCATAGCACTACCTCTGGCTTCTGTCACTTCCACCACCCCATACAGCACACTCTCCTGTTCCCCTTATTCAGCCTATCCCAGTTGCTGACTCACTGACTCAACCCCAGCCTGGTCCATCCTCTCATCTCCATCCATCCTCCTGCTGTTCTCTTCACTTTTCACCTGGAAAACGGGCACGACCTCCTTACTGAGGTTTTGCCTCTTTCTCTCTGTCCTGCTCTTTTCATTGTAAACTTAGGTCTTAGCAGGGATGTCTGACCCTTAGCCCATGGACTACTTGCATTCTTTTTATAAATGTACAAAAGTTTCATTGGTTATACACATTCACTATATTTTACTAAGTGTATGCAGCCCAAGACAATCATCTTCACTCAGTGTTGCCCAAGCAAGCCAGAAGGTTGATCACTATGCTTCAGAGTCAAGCTTGGAGACTGGGGCTCCACCTCAGCTCCCTGACTTAGTCCAAATGCAACGGGTCAGATACCTGACATTGCTTTGGTTTTCTCATCTGCAAAATGGAATCCTTGGGGAGCTGGTATGAGGGCTGCATGAGAGAAAAGGAGAAACTACATATAGATACTGGACGGTGAGCTCCTCTATCAGGCAGCTTGCCCATGGTACTACTTAAAACTTTTCACTGGCTTCCACTACTCCCAAATTAAGCCCAAATTCCACAGCACTAAGGCCATCGCTACACCCTGGCTATAGCCCAGCAGGACAGATTTCCTTCCCTTTATAACCTCTGTCCACATATTGTTTTCTTTCCTTCTCTCCATCCAGTCAACTAAGTACCCCAGTCATTTTGCATTTTCAATTCCAACATAATGATGGACATATAACATGCCCACAAAAACTTCTCTTTTGGGGGATGGGGAGTGGTTTGGAAACATGGTTTCATTATGTAGCTCAGACTGGCCCTGAGCTCACTATGTTGCCCAGGCTGGCCTCAAACATGCAGGGATTCTCGTGCCTCAGCTTTCTGAGTACTGGATCACAGGCGTGCACCAAAAAAATTCCCACCAGGTATGGTGGCACATGCCTGTAATCCCAGCACTTGGGAGACTGACGCAGGAGGATCATTTCAAATTTGAGACCAGCCTGGGCTACAAAGTGAGCTCAAGGCCAGCCTGAATTGTATAGCCAGGCCCTGTCTCAAAAAGACACACACACACATGCGCACATGCACACGCACGCACACAAATTCTCTCCTTCTTGTCACGACTGCTATCACACACATTTTACATCTGCCCGCTCATGTGTCAAGATTCAACTCAAAAGCAGCTTCTTCCAGGAAGCCTTCCTTGATGCGCCTAGATGAAATAGATCAGTTCTCTGTGTTGCTATTCTGACAACACTGGACACACACTCAGTCTTGCAGTGTAGTCAGCTGACTACATATCTGATCTCCACCCCATAACACTAGTTCTGAGGGCTGAGATGCCCCTCGGGGCACATGACACAGTACTCGATGTAAGAGTCATAATGAATATACGCTTGCCATTCAAAGTCCTCAGCTCTTTGGCTTTACTTAAATATTAGCTGATCTTTCATATAAATTACTCAGAAACATTAAACAATATAAAAGTCATTACTTGAGGTGTGATGAATTTAATATAAGCCTAATAAACAAATCTGTGAGGATAGAATTCTAGAAGACGAGAAAGTGCTATCTCATAATTTACTTACAATAAAGTGTTCCACATCCAGTAAGCAAACACGTATGGGGAAAAGGAAATGCACAGAGCATTTCCTTATACAGGAACTGCCCTCCCAGAGCAGTTCACAGAGTATCTGGGGGAGGCAGTGTGGCCTGTCACCCTGTGTACACCACTGGGGGGTAGAGAGCAGTACTTACTGTACCAGAGCCAGGAGATACAGGCCAAACGGACTGTGAAGGAACAGGGTAGAAGAAGATTATACTTCACTATCACACATCAGTCCCTAGAAATCTCAGTGTCCTGGATGGGAAAGTTGAGCATGCAAAAGACTGAGCTCACATCTAGATAAAGAAACTACTGGAAGTCACTTCCTTCTCAGAACTAAGGACTGCCTATGCCACAGGTCAGTTAAAAAAAAAAAAAAAAAAAATCCAAAAGACATGCATAATAAAAAGTGAGGAGTATATTGGTTAGAGCCTTGCTCTGCTGGCATTAGAGCCCCTCCAGGCTCCCCTCCTCACTGTAAACCTCACTTTGAACAGGTATTTATTCGGTACGCCTTAACTCCTCCACACTAAAATAGAAATAGCAACAGTGTCAGTCTCTCAGTTATAAGTATTGAATAGTGTATGTAAAGCACTTGGCACGAGGCCTAGCACAACTGGAAGTCATTTTGCCCCTAGGAGACATTCTGCAGTCTCTGGAGATGTTTCTAGGTATTGCGTTGGGTGGCAGAGGAGTGGGTTGCCACTGGAACCTAGTAAGTAGAGGCCAGAGATATTGCTAAACGTTTATGGTACACTTCACAGTTCCTGTAACATAGAATTTTCCAACCCAAAATGTTATAGTGCAAGATTTTGAAACTCTGGCCTAGCATATAATAAGCACACAACAAATATGAGTTATAACATTTTTCCTATAACAATGAAACAATTGCAATTTCCTTCTCTCAAGGATAACCATCTTCTGATTAAAATGATAAAATATAGACCGTATTACTTACTTTGCTTCCTGTAACACTGGGTAACAGATCTGTTATGCTGGAGATAGGAAGAGTTTGTTGCTTGATAGGTTCTGGGGAACTCAGTAACTTTGTGAAATAAAAAACATAGCAAAGCACCAAAACTGAAGTATAAAAAAGCTGAAAAAAGAAAATAGGTTGAAGTTAAACTATTTTAATATAGGTATTATACTATGTCTATAAATTTGACCTCAAAGGCCAATAAAGAAACAGAACTGCCATGTTGTATGGAAGGAAAGGAGAACAATCCCTCTGACAAGGATGGAGGGGCCCTTGGGCCTGACAACCATAACACACTGCCACCTACTCTGCGGCATCTAGCCAGTGTTTTCGATAAACTTGAGGCTTTTTGTAGGTAAATGGATGCAACTCACAAATGAAATAAATCAGACCCACACGTAAACATCATATTGTCTCCCTAAAAGCACCTAAAGCACCTAAAAGAATAAATGAAATATGAAATGTTAATAGATAGTAAAGGGGAAAGAAACTGAAAAAAAAAGGAATAAACAGTTGGGAGAAGAAAAGGAGAAAAGATGGGAAAAAAGGAAGGGGAAAAACATCATGTATGCATATACACAGGATAGCCGACATGATTGTACTACTGATTTCTATCAGTTTTTTTGAAGGGAGCAGTTAATATCTTTTTTTTTTTTTTTACTTTGACCAATTTTACATGCTTATATCTCTAATTTGAGCAACTACACTGAGGACAACAACATGTAATATAATAACCATCACTAAATACCCATCATTTTGATTTTTTAAAATTTTGTACCTTTTCTAATGTCCTATTTATTATTTTTCTATTAAAAATAGACAAATAGAACTGTCTTAATTAACTGTATTTTCTGTTGGGCAGTGCTTCCTCCTTAGGAAAACAGGACCATTTATTCAGACCCAGCTCCACTGTAGCATCTTCTTGCAGTGTTTTAAATTCTTCACTTAGGTGGCAGAATATAATGTCCCTGACAGTCACTTGCTCAACTGTCACAATATCAGATACAAGACATGATTTTTTAAAAAGCAAAATATTTATTTTTTTGTTTTTTAACTTATTATAGTAAGACACACTGCCATTAACTGCCCTCAAAATACTTCCCCTCACTTTGAACATATTTATCCCATCATTCTTGCCACTTTCTGAAACAGTTCTGGAAGTTTTTTTTCATAAGTGTCTTTAGTTTTGTTGTCACGAATGTCTCAATGTCCTGAATTCATTCAAAGCACTGGCATTTAATGGTCATTTTAACTTTGGGAAGAGTCGGAAGTCACACGATTCCAGTCTGGTGAATAAGGGGGATGAATACATATCATGTTTTTATGAGCCTGGCTTTCTGTTGGATGACGCTAGGAAGTAGCATTCACCCAAAGACATTCCAATTAAAGAGGACTTCCAGGACTGCTTCAAAAAGTGGCAAAAGTATAGGATATGGGTGTTTGAAACAATGACAATGTGTCTCTTACTATAAGACTTTCTTTTAAACATTTACTGAATTTTTGGGTCATACATCATACATTATCACAAGACTTGTATTTGCCCAAAGGAATAACTCTCTCACCTACACAGCATGCTGTCAAGACCCAGGTATCATGACTCTGCTGACAGCCATGAACCTATCATCTAGGGCTGTGGATTTTCCACACACCCCGGAAAACTGTGACATTTATGATTACAAAGCAGAACTGAGCACTTTCCTCTCCACCCAGCACAAAGGCAGGGTGAGAGCTACTATACGATGAGGGAGGAAAGGGAGGGATGATAAGAGGGCCGACCTCTCCCTCCACCCATCTCAGACAAAAGAATGGCTTCTGGCCAGGAGCAGCAGCCAGGCTTTTGTTTGTGGAGTGGAGAGGATAATCCAAAACGGCCCTTTAACCAGCTCCCTCTTTTCCGAGAACACCAATACACACTAGCTACAGCAGTGGGCCCTCCAGACCCAGACCCTGCTGTCACACAGCAGGAAACATGAGAAGCTGCAGTTAGGCGGCCTAGGCTGCTCCCTGCTGCTCTCCAACCACCCTGGAGGAGAGTCCACTGCACCAGCACAGTGAGTCCTTAAAAGACAAATAGCACTGGTGGTTCAGAACCAAGCTGCAATGAGCCAATGCCCTTCTCTGCCTTCTTCATTTTTTTGCTGTCCACAGCTTTGAAGAGAAAGTGACAACCTATTGCTAATCCTAATGCAAGAGTGTTATAACCACATGACTATCCCATACTTTTTTGCCAAGGAAAAATTCACAATTTTTTTAAATTCCCACTTTAAGTGAATGATTCAATGGCTTTTTAGTATATTCACATTATTGTACAACCAATATCACTATCTAATTCCAGAATGTTTTTATCACCCACAAGGAAACTATCTATTAAACAATTACTGCCCATTCCCCCATCCATTAGCAACCACTAATCTGCCCTGTCTCTATGGACTTGCTTATCCTGGATATTACATATTAATGGACTCATACCACAGCCTTTTGTGTCTGACTTCTTCCACTTAATATAATGTATTCAAGGCTCATCCCAGTTGTATTATGGATCACTTTTTTTT